CGCATTCAGGAACAAGAAAGCAAGGAAGCAAGAATCCAGTTCACAAACCGCCCGTCGAAACGCACGCGCGCACAAGCAACTGTCGCACATCGAAGTCGGCCAAATTACATACCGGAGTGTCGCTATCGCATCGCATCAATTGCTGCAGTAAATACCCGCACGCCGAGCAGGGCGAGTAATAACGGAGTTGCCCATATTGCGTGACAAGCCGCGGACACCTGCGACGCAGCGCGGCCCACTCACGGATGAGCAACGCCGTTAAACGCTGGCTGAGATCACCGATGGGCCGACGACTGTACGCCGACGCATTCATTATATATTGCACGTGATTAGAATCTCCTAGCGGATTACCCAAGAGTTGAAGACGACGACGCCGGAAACAATAACACCTACGCACGCACACACGCACGCACGCACGAATAGCGATGTGGTAAGGACATGGACCGTGGATCGTTGTTCTGTACACGCGGCGTTCGACAATATAGCGCGGACTACGGACAGCATATTTCATTATCACCCGGCACCGATTACAGAGAATTGTAAGATATCTATTACCACGTTTACGACTATTATCGTCTATTCTGATACAAAATCTGACCATTTACTTTACTGTCTGTGTTTTAAGCACCAGCAGCAGCAGCAGCAGCTGGTTAATCAGCAGCAGTAACGTAAAGAACGTGTTTGTGAAATAGTTAAACATCGGTTCTCTAAACCGTTTCGCTGACCTGCATTGAACAATAAGACAGGCAACTCTCGAGCAGATATGCCAAAGTTGTACTTTAAGTATTAAATTAAGAGGACCAGGCAGGCCCTAGGATTTACACTGCATACAACTGTACTTACTGCTATAACAAATCGTCACTATACTCCCATCGTATTGCTGTTACGCAGATACTCTAATTTAATTGTTATAATTATTTAACGACGATCAAGGCTACGAATTTGAACGGCCCATGACACCCGCGACGGTCCGTGCTGCACCGACACGGGAAAAATTGCGGTATTTAACCAATGTTGATTTGCACAGGCTTACCGACACGAGGCTAAGATCACAAAATGCAATTATATTTATACCTAAATGCTATTTAACCGAGACATATTCAATTTTAGGGGGAAAATTTGTGCCATATTATGAACTGAAGCCACTATATGTCGTCCTGTGTGTAAGCATGATTTACCAATCTTTGTGCTTTTAATGAAGTAAATAAGAAAACACGCGCGTCCGTTGTAGGCCCTCTGGCTGGACAAGTGGTTTATGGCGGCAACTCTCTGTCGCAGATCGTGCGCTGTTGAGTGGCGCATTCAAATGCACGGTGTTGTATCAACTGTAGTCGAACCTCGTAGATTTTAAAACATTAAAACAAACAAAATATTTCTAATGGTGATTGAACATGAAAACTTTTTTATTGGGTAAGCTCAAGCAATTATAACACTAATTAGCTGAAATAACACCTGAGAACCTAGGATGGCTACTGTTCGTCGTTAAGGGAATTATCA